GTGCAGCATTAAATTCTATATGAAGGTATCAGGATTCTTCTCTTTATCTCTACTAGTTTTGAACTTAAATTTAACTCCTCGATTGTGGGTCTTGAAAACAGGCATTGGTAAATTACATGTAAGCAGTAATAAACACTATATGATTATAATGAACAAACATCGCATCACACTCATGAAGCGCTTGAATAAAAACTAAAGTTTCTGGAGATGAAATCGAGCCGTACATCGTCCCTGCGATCACAGACATTGTGCTAAAAATAATAGCGGCACTAAGAGGTATATTTATCTCTGCATTCAACGATTACAATGAATAAAACAACTACCATAATAGTAATGGACAGGTGGATAGTTTTTCTGTTATTTGTTCTTTCCTCTTTAAACTCACGTGTTTGTGTTTCCAACACGGTGTCATTGAAATTATTTGTGCTGTCTTAAACAACACTCGTCAATTCATGTATTTCGTCTAATTGTGCAGTTTCACAGAGTAATGTTGTCTGTATTACCACAGTTTATGGAATTTGAATTTTTGTCATTAATACACTTGGTATATTTGGTTTTTAAGTTCTGATATTGCTCATTTGATTCTGATTTGATTTGATTTGATTTGATTTTGCTTTGAGTGAACAACTCATTTCGAAAACGCTCGACATCTTTTAGTGTGAGGCTACCACGAACGCCTTGTGCCTTTGTATCTGAATTGAGCGTAGATGTAAGCACTAAATTAATGTTTTYGATGGCACTCCTAACATCGTTCTCAAATGCGAAGACAGAATAAGACAAATGCCTTGACGCATGCTGACAGACACGTCATTTGAGCCATTCGGAATGATCGAGTCGAAAGCCAAAGTTATGAGCATGCGCATTTTGACTGGAAATGCAGTTTGTGGACCGCAGAAAGAAATTAGCATGCGCATTTTTACCGAAAGTTTAATTTGTGGACAATAGAAATTCCGTCCAATTTATACCTGGGGCATTCCACAGGAATGACTTGGTTTGCTTGCTTTAACAAACAAATACTAGTAAACATATAATCAAACATGATGGAATAAAAAACGTCGATGACCATATAAGCTAGTCGAAACGTAGGCGAAGTAATGCCGCTGAGCATACGGAAATGAATACTCCAAAAATCATCCATCGGCCGCCTAGAACACAGGAAATCCGTCCAGATTAGTGTCGCAATAAAGCAACAAGAATATAGAGCAAACTGGTCATTTAAAGAGTATGAAATATAATCTGAAACAAGAAGTGGGTCTTATCATAATAAAACATATATAGACTTAAGGTAGAATATAAACTTACTTTCATTTAATTCAAGAAAAAGTACAAAATGATCACGATAATACTTCATTCACAGTTCCGTTCAGTGACCACGATAAATGGTTCCAAGCCGAGGTYGGAGTTGCCGCACACGATAAACTATAGTTTTGTTATGCGCGGAAACTGYAACCTCGACTTGGAACTACTCATTCGTGATCAATGACCGAAATTGTAAAATGGAGTATTGTTCGTTCTTGAATGGTGATTATTTGTTTCTTGCATGTGGCATTATTTGTTCCCCTAMGTAAATTACTCACTCTCAAAGAGAACTCCCAAAACCTTTACTACGACAGGGCATTGTGTTTTTCTTTATTTTGTTTCTGCAATTTCTGTAGGTCGTTTGATTCTTCCTTTGATTTTTGTTATTTGTCTTTTCTTTTTATTCTTATAGTTGTTATTCTAGTTCTGTAAATGAAATTAAAAACATCTTTAAAAAAAGTTGGGGCTCGCTTTGTGGGCCAAAACTATGGCTTTAAAGTGCTTATAAGCCTTTGCACAATATTTTCAGAATTGATTCTTTAGATAGTGGATAGTTGATTGTGAAAGTACTTCGTCATTTGAATGTCGGGTCTTTAAGATACGAGGATTTATATTCCCAAT